ACAGTCATCGGCTCCTTAAAGCGCCCTGGGGGATTGTTGCTTCAGGATGATATCACATTGTACCAGGCCGGGTTACCTGCTTATGGCTGGAACAAGCTCTACTAACCAGCGTTGTGCTTAGCAGCGTCTGTGGTACTACGATTGAGTGAGACAAATAATCCAAATGACCTTTAAACTTTTTGTGGAACACAAACTGAAAGATATAGCTTACTGAATGCCAATATCTGTCTGTTTTTATGTGTCATTATAGTCTCTCAATTGTCTGTTACTAAACTTATTCAAGAAAGTAATTCCACTCTATTTGAAAAGAATGGAAGAGCAAAGACTAGTTCCATTACTCCGTGTCTGTCAGAGTGGGTACTACTAGTAATAACATGTTTGTGATAGGTGGGAATGATCAGGTCAAAGTGGGAGGTAAAGAGGTATGCTGTATATTGTGGATAATTACTTTATTTGTAGAGGAGTGCATTTAAGGACCCCGATGTAGGTCTAGTGGACGTAGGTCTAGTGGTCTAGTGATGTAGTGTTTCTATGTGATGTAGGTCTTGTGGATTGTAGGTCTTTGTGATGTAGGTCTAGTAATGTAGTGAATGTAGGTCTTGTGATGTAGGTCTATATGTGTAGAGTAGTTTAGGATGTAGGTCTAGGAGTGTAGTGATAGGTCTTGTGATGTAGGTCTAATGTAGTGATGTAGGTCTTGTGATGTAGGTCTAGTGATGTAGTGATGTAGTTCTAGTGATGTAGGTCTTGTGATGTAGGTCTTGTGATGTAGGTCTAGTAATGTAGTGATGTAGGTCTTGTGATGTAGGTCTAGTGATGTAGTGAAGTAGTCTAGTGATGTAGGTCTTGTGATGTAGGTCTTGTGATGTAGGTCTAGTAATGTAGTGATGTAGGTCTAGTGATGTAGGTCTTGTGATGTAGGTCTAGTGATGTAGTTAGTATAGGTAGTGATGTAGGTCTTGTGATGTAGGTCTAGTAGTAGTGTGATGTAGGTCTAGTGATGTAGGTTGTGAGTAGTCTAGAGTAGGTCTTGTGATGTAGGTCTTGTGATGTAGGTCTAGTAATGTAGTGATGTAGGTCTAGTGATGTAGGTCTTGTGATGTAGGTCTTGTGATGTAGGTCTAGTAATGTAGTGATGTAGGTCTAGTGATGTAGGTCTTGTGATGTAGGTCTAGTAATGTAGTGATGTAGGTCTAGTGATGTAGGTCTTGTGATGTAGGTCTAGTGGCGTAGGTCTTGTGATGTAGGTCTTGTGATGTAGGTCTGGTGATGTTGTGATGTAGTTCTAGTGATGTAGGTCTAATGACGTAGGTCTGGTATTCTGCATTGTGTTTTTTATCTTGTAGATCTTTAGTTTGGGTGAACAGGGGAGGTAGTGAAGAACCAAACAGAATAATATTGTGTGGCACTTCTAGTTCACTGATGCCATATTCTGTCCTATACACATCTAGTTCACTAGGGCAATATTTCTGTCCTATACACTCTTATATCACTGGGGCCATATTTTTCTAGTTTTTAAGTAGATACTGTATATATTGAGGGATTACAGTGGCTTGCGAAAGTATTCACCCCCCTTGGCATTTTTCCTATTTTGTTGCCTTACAACCTGGAATTAAAAAGGGGTTTTTTAAGGGGGGTTGTATCATTTAATTTACACAACATGCCTACCACTTTGAAGATGCAAAATATCTTTCTTGTGAAATAAGACATAAAAACAGAACAACTGAGCGTGCATAACTATTCACCCCCCCAAAGTCAATACTTTGTAGAGCCACCTTTTGCAGCAATTACAGCTGCAAGTCTCTTGGGGTATGTCTCTATAAGCTTGGCACATCTAGCCACTGGGATCTTTGCCCATTCTTCAAGGCAAAACTGCTCCAGCTCCTTCAAGTTGGATGGTTCCGCTGGTGTACAGCAATCTTTAAGTCATACCACAGATTCTCAATTGGATTGAGGTCTGGGCTTTGACTAGGCCACTCCAAGACATTTAAATGTTTCCACTTAAACCACTCAAGTGTTGCTTTAGCAGTATGCTTAGGGTCATTGTCCTGCTGGAAGGTGAACCTCCGTCCCAGTCTCAAATCTCTGGAAGACTGAAACAGGTTTCCCTCAAGAATGTCCCTGCATTTAGCGCCATCCATCATTCCTTCAATTCTGACTAGTTTCCCAGTCCCTGCCGATGAAAAACATCCCCACAGCATGATGCTGCCACCACCATGCTTTACTGTGGGGATGGTGTTCTCGGGGTGATGAGAGGTGTTGGGTTTGCGCCAGACATAACGTTTTCCTTGATGGCCCATAAGCTTTAAGCAATGGCTTTTTTCTGGCCACTCTTCCGTAAAGCCCAGATCTGTGGAGTGTACGGCTTAAAGTGGTCCTATAGACAGATACTCCAATCTCCGCTGTGGAGCTTTGCAGCTCCTTCAGGGTTATCTTTGATCTCTTTCTTGCCTCTTTGATTAATTCCCTCCTTGCCTGGTCCGTGAGTTTTGGTGGACGGCCCTCTCTTGGCAGGTTTGTTGTGGTGCCATATTCATTCAATTTTTTAAATAATGGATGTAATGGTGCTCCGTGGATGTTCAAAGTTTCTGATATTTTTTTATAACCCAACCCTGATCTGTACTTCTCCACAACTTTGTCCCTGACTTGTTTGGAGAGCTCCGTGGTCTTCATGGTGCCGCTTGCTTGGTGGTGCCCCTTGCTTAGTGGTGTTGCAGACTGAAATCCAAATAAAAATCTATTTAAATTACAGGTTGTAATGCAACAAAATAGGAAAAACGCCAAGGGGGATGAATAATTTTGCAAGGCACTGTACATGCATCCACAAAGACAGAGAATAACCGTGTGTGTGTGTGTGTGTGTGTGTGTGTGTGTGTGTGTGTGTGTGTGTACTTGTGTGTGTGTGTGTGTACTTGTGTGTGTGTAATACAGTGGAGGCTGCTGAGGGGAGGACGGCTCATAATAATGTCCGGAACGGAGCAAATGGAATGGCATCAAACACGTGGAAACCATGTGTTTGATGTATTTGATACCATTC